ATCATAAGATACCAGGTGTACCTAATCTTATATCCATTCTCTTAAATCTTATTACCCGTTCTCTTAATCTGGAATTGCAGGTGTAGGGATCACGTACCAGAAGATGTACCAGTTGCACTAAACCAAACTCTGCAAGACTTGCAGCTTGGTTACGTTGATTTGTTCCTTGTACGTATGGCTCTTCAATATGTTTTAGAAACCTTCATCTATCTAACATTGACAGGTTCTCCTAGTTTGTAATTTAGATTGTCATCAGACTATTTTATGGAATTAGATTCAATGATATTCTAGAAATTTAGGTATCATCACCATCATCATCATCATCATCACCCCGGTGCCGCAAAGGCTCCCACACTTTCGGTGGAGTAAGTGGGGGTCGGATGTATGCAGTCTTACCCCTGTACGAAAGCACAAAGAAACTGTTTCCGGATGACCCATAGTAAAAATCGCGTCGCAAATTGTATGGTCTGACTGCAGCTTCATAACAAAGAAGCGTAGACAGTTTAGTAAGCCATTTTGCTTTATTCCATCATATTCCCTAACCAAAAAATAGTGAGTCTTTGGTTCCATTGCCAATGCTGGAAAAATTCTAGAAATTTAGGTATATAACAGAATTTATATTGAAGATCATTTATACTATCTGAGGGCTCGTTCATTAGTGTTTCCTGCTCGTTTTCTGGTTACTTTTCAACCAAACAAAATTATGAAAACCAGAAAAGTAATTTTCTGCTCTTTGTTGGTAGTTTTTTTAACACTAACATATTAACATGATTAGTATAGATAATTAGGTATAAGTACATTTTAGTTCATTAGATAACCTATATCATACCAGATATAACTTTTACAATCGTAAAACACAAAACAGAAACTGACAGTAATGCTGAACTAGCCATGGACTTCTAGATGACAATGTGTGTGAGGTAAATTGAATTGAACTAGCTCATGACTCCATCGATTGGGTAACTTTGTAGTATAGTTTGAATTGGTTTGGTTTTGCTTGATTAGATCCTTTTTTGTAGATACATTGGCCTGTACGGATGAAGAAGGACTCGGTAGGATTTGCCCCTGAAAACCTTGCTCCAACCGATATACCTGCGACTTGGAAAGCCATGGAAGCACTATGTGACTCTGGTAAAGCTAGAGCCATTGGAGTTAGTAATTTCTCAACAAAGAAGCTGAGGGATCTTTTGGAAGTTGCCCGTGTTCCTCCTGCTGTTAACCAGGTGGAATGCCATCCTTCTTGGCAGCAAAGCAAACTGCGAGAGTTCTGTAAATCCAACGGAGTTCACCTCTCTGTGAGTTTTATCATTCGTTTCAGTTGGTGGGCCATGTGAATGTTTTATCAAAGTTGTGTACTATAGATGGTTGATTCAAACTACACCTTATTGTAGTAATCTTTCTCTTTATCTTTCAGGCATATTCACCGCTAGGTTCTCCGGGCACTACATGGATAAAGAGTAATGTGATTACTCATCCAGTTGTGCTCTCAGTTGCTGAGAAGTTGGGGAAAACTCCTGCACAAGTTTGTCTTCGTTGGGGCTTGCAGATGGGAAACAGTGTGCTTCCCAAAAGCACAAACGAACGCCGGATCAAAGAGAACTTTGACGTCTTTGACTGGTCTATCCCTGAAGACCTAATGGTCAAGTTCTCTGAAATTGAGCAGGCAAGAAGCGCTTATTTAATTCTTTCATAATAGTACTCCATCTGTCCCATTATTATATCATGTTTTGACTTGGCACTGGGAATAAGAAAATAAAAATGTTGCAGCTTTCTCCAAAGAAAGAGACAATGGGAACCACACAATCTCTTTTAAAAGGAAAGAGAAATTTATTTTGGGAGAAAAAAGAAGCATGCAATTCATTTTGGGACCAAGGGAGTGATCTATTAACAATTTTAGATAATTTTTCCTTTTCATATTTAATTAATTACTTGCTCTCTCTCTCATGATTTTTACTCCTATAAAATAAAACTCAAAATTGGCATTATAAATAAGAAATATTTTTCAGCATGCTATATGCAAGAATAATAATTACTCTTTTCAAAAGCCCATCTATTTGGGAGTGGATACTCCAAAATCAGCCAAAGTCATCGTAAATCCCTTGTAGTGGCATAATATGATTTTTTTTTTAATATGGTTATCATTGTCGAGAAAATGGTGGTATCACATAAGTGCCATAACTGGTTAAACTAATATTTGCAGGCAAGACTGATTAGAGGCACATCTTTTGTGAGTGAGACCTATGGCTCATACAAAAATCTTGAAGAACTCTGGGATGGTGAAATCTAAGTTTGCAGTTAATCTTGCTCTTGCATGTAGGCAATTATGAAAAGAAGCGGTTGGCCTTTCAGTCTTGTTTCATCACTTCATAATTAAAAGTTTATTTTATTTTATTTTGGGTGTGGTTAAACTGAACACTTATCAGGATTCCTCCATATTCTACTGTTTAAAGTTCATTAACTTTTCGATTTGGATACTTTATGCATTGTGTTCCTGGTTTGGCTATTTTACTCTTTTACTATGTGGCTGATTGCAAATACAGGTTGGGGCCAGTGGGGGCTTATCAAAACACAACCGGACAATAGTTCCTTGGCCGATTTCACCGATTACCAACGCCTTAAAAATTTGAACATGTTCTAAGCATATTAAATCTAGGTCTATAAATGAAGGTATCAACACATAGACATATGAAGACATGTAATGTTACAAGTTCAAAATTTCAAATACCTTGAAAGATGAAAATCAGTTCTTCTTTCTACTGGGAAAACTTTAAAGAAGTGGAAAATGAACATTTTTTCGTAAAGCTAAAAACTTGGTGCCCCACTCACAAAAGATCGGTTTTAAATGTTTCAATTTTCAAACAGGCGAATTTCATGTTTTCGTAAATTGTAGGCTTAAATATGCTTAGGGAGTTGGGGTGATTACAATCTCAAAAGTGAAAATTTATTCTTTTCACCTGATATAGTGTGCAACCTTGTAAGTTGTAAAAAAAGAGTAGAGGTAGAGTTGGGTGTTAAAGTGGGTTGGTAGCACCCTTATTTGGCGAGTGAGGGTCTGTTTGTAACAGATTTTAAAAAAAGTGTTTTTTTTAATGAAATAGGGACAAGTGATTAAATAAAAGTTGATAATGTTTGAGAAAAAAATAATTTTGAAAAGTAAAAGTGAGTAGTGTTTGGTAAAATAAGTGTTTTTTGTGTAATAGAAAAAGTAAAAGCACTTTTGACGCGGAAGCCGAGAAAAATAAAAGTTGTAGTGTTTGAGAAAATAAGTGCTTTTTTAAAGCAAAAGGCTGAAAAGTGCTTTTTTAAAAGCAGTTGCAAACCAACCCTGAATCCCCCATTCACCCGTCTCAAAAGAAAAGCAAAAGAGGAAACTTAATAGTTGGGCTAAGCTGGCGAAAGGAAACTCCAGAAGGGAAAAACTATTTTATCAAACCCGAACTGATCTGGGTAGATCGATTCGGAAATCGGTTACTTGCGTGGAACATCGGGCCGATAATGGGTAGCCCGCAAGTATGCTAAAGTTCGCCTAAACCCACAGACCCGGCAAGAAACCTGACCCAAAACCCGGCTCAACCCGAAGAAACAGTCTCTCACGCATCAGCCGGTCTAATGCTCCGAGTCCAAGCTGACCTTTGACCCGGGCATTCATCCGATCACTCAAAGGGACGGCCCCAATGACCTCTGCCTTTCATTGTCGTTTACTTCTGGTGGTTGTGAGTTGTTGGGCTTCTCTCTTGATTTGATTTGTGTCCCTTCAAAAAAATTGGATCTAACATTGGACGTCTAGCAAGAAATAAGATTTTGTGAACAAGTTTTTTTTAATACACCCGCTCCAACTAAGAGAGATTTTAAAATTGTGGCGCTTAATTAGATGATTACTTGGGTGAATACCGGGTACCAAAGCTCAATTAGCTTTTTAGGTAGAAATACAAGGGACTATTTGACACCTTCCCCCTAGATTGATATACGTATAATTTAGGATAACTAGAGAATGATAAGAAAGATACGGACTTGAACAAATTCATTGCAATTTTAAGATAATTGAAAACAATAACAACAACCCTGTCTTAGTTTCAATACAGTTTGGGTCAATTAAAGGTTTTTGGGTCAATTGAGAATTAAATAGGTTTCAAATATGATAATAATCATTCATATTTGGAAGGGAAAAATAATTAAAATACCCCAAACTTTGAAGGAGTGAAATAAAACGCCCCAAACTTTCATATATGATTTAAATACCCCAAACTTTTTATATAAAGTTATTTTAACATCATGGTCATGTATTATTTATTTCAAAAATTCAAATTTATGATGTTAATTGCATAATTTAAAACAATAAATCGAAAACGTTGCAATTATATAGAATGGAAGGGTAATACTATTTATTTCACAATGTTAGTTTAGAAGGTTAATTGTATCTTCATGAATGATAAAATATACTCCCTCCGTCCCTATATAAAAGACACATTTTCCTTTTTGGGTTGTTCTTATATAAAAGGCTCATTTCCCTTTTTGACAAACAAAACAGTGCAAAATAGTGCCAAAAAGTGTCCAAACGATGTCAACCAATGTTCCTCCTAAAGTTGTGTGCAATTCAATATGTGTCTTTTATATAGGGACGGAGGGAGTATGAAATTAACACCAAAAAGTATCATTTTTTAAAGAAATAATACATGGTCATAGTGCTAAAATAACTTTTTATATAAAGTTTGAGAAATTTAAATTACATATGCAAGTTTGGGGTGCTTACTTTACCCCACTTGAAAATTTGGGATATTTTAATTATTTTTTCCTATTTGGAGAGTAAAACAAATAACTTTTGTCTTAAAATTCCAAAACATTTGTTCTCCTAAAATAATTTATTGTATTTAAATTTCTACTAGTATTTTTTCTTACCTTCCAAATATCTGAAGTCTGAACCAATCAATAAATCAATAATAATCCCTTAAATGACGTCCTATGTGGCTATGACAGCATAAGGACGCCCCTACCTTTTGTTACTGTACGACCTTCTTCGTCGCCCCAAACAACAATATCCAATCTTAGCGGCTTTGATGCTCTTTGTCTAAAATAAAATGGCGGTTCATTGCCGTCTTAACATTGTTCCCAACCTCAATTACCGCCGTACTTCGGGACTCTGCCCTCCCTCCTCTGCATATAATCGCCTAATCGCGCCCTCACCGAATCATTCCCTCTTCTTACCCCAGCTCCATCTCAAGGTATGGCTCAAATAATCCATACACACATGTAAATGAAGATTCATTTTGCTTCTGCAGCAATTTGAATTAATTCCAATGCTCATATGTGTCAGGCTGAGATTTTGTGTCAAGACAGAAGGGTCGGCGGCGCACTGAAGTGTGCGACTACGTCGGAGAAGAGAACAATGTCTGAAGAGCGAATGCTGGTGAGTTACTTGCGTTATGTTTGGCTTCCTAGATAATGCGTCCAGAGAAAATGTAGGATCAGTGTTGATGTGATTTGAATGAGATTAACTCTGTTCAATGCCTTAGGTGATTGTTCCGCCGCATCCTTTGATAAAACACTGGGTTTCTGTTCTCCGGAATGAGCAAACGCCTTGTCCAATATTCAGTACGTGATTTTTTTATTAATTGACCAATTGGTTGGATTTCAACAGTCTCGTTTTTTTTTTTTTTGATTTTGTTACATGTGTTTAATGCTGAAAGTAAGAAATGCTGATTCATTTGTGTATAAACATTGCAGTTGTTCATAGGTTACTCGCAATCAATTATACATTCTAGTCTACTTAAAACTTTGAAGTACAATATACGTGTTAATGTACGGCTGTCTGCTGCATTTGATGTATAATATGTTCATATACTTATTCTTTTAGCGTTGGATGCATTCTTCCTGTGGTTTGTGTCACTCACTTGTGGCATATAAAATCGTTTCAAATGTAAAATTGCGAACTTTGCATTTTTTGGAATACGTTATTATCATGTAATAGCAGACATTTCTGTGTTTTCCAAATGCTGCTTGTTTTGGATACATTGGGTAGTTCTTGGTATGAACCCTAATCTCAGCATGCCTTTTACTTAGAGTAGCGTTATTGACTTATTGTTAGCCCATCTACTCTTAATTTTCAAATTAGGTGCTCAAAATGTTTCATCAACCATGTGATCCAAATGCTTCATGTTTTACATGCATTAAGTGGTACATATTCCATCTCATCTCAGCATGCCTTCTACTGTTCGACTTTCATAAATGTTACTTTTAGCTCTTCCACTTTTATTTTTCAAATAATCAAATCAAATGATCTAATTTCTCATGAACCATGTTAACCTTTTTCTTTTGATTACAATCACAGAAAATGCAATGGCTGAGCTAGGAAGATTGTTGATGTATGAAGCATCAAGAGATTGGTTGGTAAGTTACATTGAGATGCTGGATCCACTGATGGTTGACTGGAATAATTCGAACACAAGCTTACTTTGTTAGGATTAAGGGATTACGTTATCATGCTTTTATAACACATGCTCCGGCAGCCTAGTAGCACCTTCTTTCTTGCGGTGCTGATATTACTTTTTACCATTATTTCCAGCCAACCATAACTGGTGAGATTCAGACACCGATGGCTATTGCATCTGTTGAGTTTATTGATCCAAGGGAACCTGTTGCGGTTAGTATTGCATTTATTCAGTATCAATCCCATCTTCAAGAAGTGGTCCTAAATTCCAAATGTCCTGTTACTATTATTCCACCTTCAGTTTATACTTATGTAACTTTTTGTTGCCTCATTTTCAGATAGTTCCTATCTTGAGAGCTGGCCTAGCTCTTGCAGAGTATGCGTCATCTATCCTGCCAGCAACAAAAACGTATCATCTGGGTAAGTGAGTCTGACAATCCTTGCAATTTGTCTATTTGTTTGACCTATGCTAGCACAACAACACAATAGGTAATGTATGAAATTTTAGCCTATGCATTTACAATTCTTGTACACATGGCATTTGTAAAACAACAACAACAACAGTAATAATAATATGATAAAAATACTATAATAGTAATAATAATAACGATAACAGTAGTTATTATCCTAATTGTACCTAATGTTCTTATTTTTATATGGAGTACTCAACAATTTACTCTCAATTTATGATCTTTATTTTTTATCTTATGTGTTGTTGACCACTACTAAGTACTATGTTGGTATTTGTCTTCAATTCAAATTGAAGGAATTAGCAGAGATGAAGAAACCCTTCAGCCAACTATATACTTGAACAAGTAAGCATTCTTCTCAAAGCTGGAATTATTTTCTTCTATTGTTGGTGGCCCTTCAATGTGTTACATAATATTAGTGTGCTACACCTTTAAGTCTCTTTTTTGCATCTTACATGATTCTTACTGGTATAGTTGAACATGGAAGACATTTAAATAACATTATCTACAAGTTTTCTCACTACCTTTTATGTGGATCCATCAGGCTACCTGACAAATTTCCAGATGGTTCTCGTGTCTTTGTTGTCGACCCTATGCTGGCTACTGGTAAAGATCCCTTTACTTCTGGTCCGAAGATTATTTGCAGTGAAAGTATTCTCACTGAGAATATCACACCACATGCTTTTATCCATTTAAAATTATAAATAATACTCTTCCAACAAAGAGGGTCATGGAACCTTTTCTGTCTAATACGAAAGTGTGGTTTTAAAAGTCAGCTTCCATTTTTAAAATACATATAAAGCCAAGCATTATTCAGGTTTAGTCAATTATTTCAAACTTCTCCTCCTGTCCCTTCTTTATCTCCATTCTTTCTTATCAATGCGTCCCAAAATTGTCTCTTTCTTTTGTAGGATATGATTATGTGGTTGACAATTTTGCCCTTTCCTCTAAATGAATTTCAACCACAGTTTTAACCTGATTAAAAAACCGTTTGAAGTCAAAAGCGGAGCTTCATTAGGGACAGAGGGAGTATCTTGGAAATAAGTTTTAGGGTTGAAAGTGACGATTCATTATTTGTAAAACCTTGTACCTTGATTGGATTGACTAAAAAAATTGCAGCTTACTCAAACAGGTCTCTTTTTTGGGGGATCTGTGAGAGGACTAGTTATTGTAGGATTTGCCATCTTTCAAGACAAGCAATACAGTTCTACAATTGATATCTCACAAGATAACTGAGTAACTGACAAGTCTTGAAGGTTGAACCTACGAAGTTCTACATTAAAAACTGTTCGTTAAAATTGGGTTCTCGGCCTGATGATATATCTTATCTTATTTAATATTCATGCATAGATCATCATACCATAATTAGTTCTAGCATGGGATCTGTCCTAATATTAGTCCTAACTCCTAACATTGAGAGTAAATATTTCAAATGAGCAGATGGGGGTTGAACTTGTGATCTCGTACTGTGGGTGGATATGATATACTACATCCGTCCCAAAAGACTTTGCCATTTTCAAAACTTTGACCAACTATATCTTTTTATTGGAAATTATTTATAATATAAAAATTATATGAAAATGTTCTTTGTTAAAAGTACTTTCATAAAAATATAAAATTTATAACTTCCATAATATTATACTAATCAAAATCATAGTTCAAAACTTCAAATTTTTTGAAATGGCAAAGATTTTTTGGGACAGAGGTTAGTACCAACTAGGCAACTAATGCACAAATACTATCACCATTGGAGTTTATAATAACTAATAACTATAACTAACCTATTGAACATATCTTTACATGTTTTCAGGTGGCACTGTAGTTGCTGCTCTTGAATTGATAAAGAAACGCGGGGTCAATAACAAACAAATCAAACTGGTAATTAAAAAGCTCACTTCTTTCAAGCATATCAGATGCAAAATGGTTGCTTCTGATGGATTATTATGTGCACTTATTATTGGCTATTTGGCTGGACTCGCATCCCTTTCCTATTCAATCACACCGCTTTTCTCTAGTGAAAGCAATTGCTAGGACTATATTTAGGCTCTGTTTGTTGTCATATAGCTAAATGAACTGCTTCTTACAGATATCTGCAGTTGCTTCCCCTCCAGCTCTTCAAAAACTCGGCGAGAAATTTCCAGGGTAAGATTTTCAACTTGATTGAAGTTTACCAAGTTAAAGGATGAAGCTTTTAATTATTGACTCGGATGACATTATTATTTCTTATGTGAACCTTCAGACTTCAAGTTTATGCTGGCATTATTGACTCTGAAGTTAATGAGAAAGGGTATTTCTTTGCTCAAAGCATTTCTTTTAATTGCTAACTAAACAACACAAGGTTTGGAGTTAAGACCTTTACTAATTTCGCCAATTGCACCTACTACATTTTCAGGTTTATAATCCCCGGACTTGGAGATGCGGGAGATCGAAGTTATGGCACATAAATGAATCAGACCATTTGGTGCTTAATCATTTCCCAATTTTGAAGGACCATTGAAGGGAATGGTATTGAGCTTTTATCCATTCCGAGGTTTTGTCAAGTCAAGTGAGTTAGTTATTGATAGATTTTTTCAAAGCACGGCTGTGCTTGAAGCTAAAAAGAATGATTCTTTAGCCTTAAGTCTTTATCATTGCCTTTTCATGCTTTTTGTATAAGCGTTAACTGTACAAGGGGAAGAGTTAATTTAACATTACGGACCTAAGATTATTTAGTTCTCAACTTGGTTTGTTGTGATATACGGAATACTTAAATACTGCGTACTATTTTCAAGTCCGGGGATAAGGTTGGACACTGTTCCTAAATAAATAATATGTGATTCTACAGGATGATACGTTTGAAATGTGCAATATTTTAAAATGAGTATAAGAGGTATCAAATGAGCATACATAACTTACAAATGACTAAAAAATTCAAAAGCTCATTTGTGTATTCTCATTCATTTTGGGTTTTATATTCATTTGAGTTTAATATAAATTCATTTCTAATATGTTCAATATTCATTTGTGTATGTTCATTCCTTTTAAGCATATACTCATTTGAGTTAAAATAAACTCATTTGACATTCGTTAACAATGAAGTATGACTCCACATAAAATAATTTGGTTCTTGGGGGGATTATACACTTGCTGATGCGTTGAGAAATATGATTTGGTGCATTAAACCATATTTTTCTGACTACTTCATTAGGAGTGAGTTTTATTCACAATAGTTGACCATTAAAATCCATGTACTAACTTGGAGTCTCCACTCAACAAAATATCGAACTCAAACTCAGTCTTCTAAATCAGCGCTCTATTTGTCGTCTCTGTACTTCTTCTTCTCGCAACACCAACCAACAAAGAAGATTTCCAGGAGCCGTTGTCTCTTGCGCAGTAGGAGGGCGTTCATGCTTGAGGAGAAGAGAGTGGCGGCGGGGAGCAGTATGCCTGGTGCGAAATGAGTGGAATAGTGATGTGACCTTAACATATACGAAGTATGAACTAACTACGAATAGTCCATGTATATTTCACGTACACCATGGATATCCATAATCCATGCAACCTTAAAAATATATTAAGGTGGAATCGTCCACCCCAAAGGCCAAACGCCCTCACGCGACTCCATAGAATAGAGGATTACAACGCATTCATGTTTTATGGGCAATAGGTCAGGGACTCGGGCTTTGTCTCATTTGAGTTTGAATTTCATAATTCATGTATCCAAAGTCCAAACTGTGGCTAATGGCAAATCTCAACTCGGTTTCCTGTATTTTAACTCCATTAATATGAAATCCTTCAAAAAATCTAATTTTTTGTTACTTTCAAAACTTTCAACTCAACATGTTCACATCTATAACGCTGTCATATTATTATATGTTTCAATGAACTAAACATCCCTTGAAACCATAGAAAGAAAAGTGATTATCATAGACTAAAAATGACACCGCACGAAATCTAACGGCCAAAAATGCTAAAACTCCAAAAAGTGTAAAAAGGGGTCATGACTCATGAAATACACGAGTTCAAATGTAAGAAAAAGATACGTGACAGTGGATTGACATCCTTGGGAGTTGGGACAGTAGACGTGGCAATGGTTTTTTCCCCATAAAGACTAGGGAAATAGATTATATGAGAAGTGTTTTCAGCAATTTCACATTCAGGAAATATCGTTCAATGGACCAAGATCATACAAGTAGATTTCAACACCATTTACAAATGGCCTCTACAATAAGGGATGGGGCCAGTAACGGGTAAAAACTACCATCTCCAGCAGAAAGAAACGCATCAGCATAGCACCCAGCAGCAGTTTGTGCACCACGTTCAATCTCCATGATTGATTAGCCTTTTTTAAAAGAAATGATAATGAAAAATCAGCATCCAAAAGTTAGAAATATCATACCAAAACGGATATACTACGCAACAAATAACTTTGCCAAAAACAAACTGCATTGAAAAGACAATGTAAACATTTTTTGGGTATCTCTTCTCTAGTTATCACTCATTTGTGTGGGCTATACAGGTCAAAGCCTACCAATAGTAGTAATTTAGGGTATGATATTAGAATCATTCTGTTATTATTCCTTGCCTACCAGATCTTTCTCACTTTTGGTCACCAACTTTCATTTTTCACACTTTTGGGGCACTGACTATAGATTCTTGCCACTTTTAGGTCTTTCTAACAACCTTTGTCCATTGACTACCAGAACATTCTCACTTTTGGTCACTGCATTTCATTTTTTCCCTTTCGGGTGAATGGCTATGAATTATTGCCCCTTTTAGTACTTTCCGACCACTATCAACTGGAATTCCATGGACTCTGTTAAGCGGCCAGAAAAGTTAAAAGGAAGACAAGAAATCCATAATCGTGCACCAAACATTGAAAAAATGAAAGTCCGGTGCCAAAAAAGGAATGACCTAATAAGTCACATGACAAAAAATGGAATATTTGAAAACTAATACGGAGTATCACCCAACTAAGAAAATTAAACAGCGATAATGAAATACAGTTATTTAATATGTGATGCAGCAGCTTATTAAGTTTCACCTGCATTCTTTAAAATTTAAATAACATCTTATTGCATGTGAAAATTTCACAAAAATATGAAAAGGCTAGTGACTGACATGCAATAAACTTCAAAATGCTACAGCTCACTGTAACTGCGCCAGACTGATCGGAACTCTTCACGAAATGTGTTTAGACGAGCTTTCAAGTTGGGAGTTCGGAAGCTTGCATGAACAAGTGTGGCTGAGAGGTAGAGATGTATATAGTTAACATTAGATGGATATTATAGAAGGAAATATTTGCTAATTGCTATAGAGAAAATTGTTGTATAATTACCGAGAAGGCCACTAGCCAACGCCCATGACACCATTATAAGACCACAGGAGACAAACCAAAGCAGCATACTCACTGAAGAAGAATGCAATATAAATCATACCCGTCACAAAGAAAATGCTTAAAGGGGGAGATTTTTGGTAAACAGAAGATAAATGATGCTTACTTATAGAGGATACCAAGACAAACGTCCATCGGGGTCGTCCACATATATATATAGCTCGTTTAGCTGATGGGCGCCCTCGAATAACAGGTCTAGAAAAAATATGAGCCAGTTAGGCACATATAACTATATACTACCTCTGTCCCATATTGGTTGTCCACTCTCAATTTGGCACAATTATTAATAAAGTGGTTGAAAAAGTAAAAGTTGTGGTTGAGATTTGATTAGAATAAAGTGAAATGCTAAAGAACACACATTTCTTGCCAAAAAAGGAAACAAGACATTTATTTTGGGACAACCCAAAAAGGAAAGTAGGACAACCAAAATGGGACGGAGGGAGTATAATGTTTTACTACAACACCAAGCCTTAGTCTCCAAAGATTTTGGGATCAGCTAACACGAATCGATACATGATATCGGAGCCAAGAGGAGAAGAAAGATAAAAAGATATACGAAGTATAATGTTTTACACTTCATAATACATAAATAAAAAACTTACGTAAGGGGAGGCCTCATTTTAGCGGCTAAATGAGGAGAAAACTGCCTGACAGTTCTTGTGACCTTTTCATTAAAAGTGCCTGCAAAGCTGTTAAAGATGTGTCATTATCAAAATAAGAAACAGTTTTCCACAGTATCAATTTCACAAAAAAGCCACAAGAAGGTATAATTAAACACAATGCCTTCGAAAATACAATGCCTTCCCTTTCAGTAGTTAATGCAAGAAAAAATACTACCTCCACTTTAATATTTAATTCAACTCAAACTAAACAGCTTCACCTACAACCAAAAGTTCTGATACACTTACAAGAAAAGTGTGCCTTAGGCTTTATAATACCTGTCATTCAGAAAAGCAATGCTTAGAGCTGTCAAAAGTGCAGCAACTATAGATAGTGGCCTCCTGAGAAATCCCATTCCTGCAGTTCAGAACATACCACCCATACATTAAAGTATTCAAAAATAAAAAGATACTGTAGATGAAACATAAGAAAGCCCAATAAAGTAAAAATAACAAAGTGATGGTCCAATAATTTAGGCACTCTTTACAGTCTTACCGAGAATAAAAACAATCATGAGGAAATAATTTGTTCGGTAGCTGTCAAGAAAAAAGAGAACCAAAAGTACATAAGTTGAAAGTGATTGAATCAGTACGAATATTAATCTAGAACTCTCGAATTGAAATTAACATCCTGCATACTGTAACAGTATATGAGACACAAAGTACGGAGTAGTAGTTTAGGAAATATATAGAATGCATAAACTTGAGTTCCTCTTACTCTGTTTCCATCACAATATCACCTAATTTTACATTACACCTGTGAATAAATGGTAACAGCTTTGAAGGATGAAACTGTGATCACATTTTACAACCAAATAAAAACAGAATAGAGTGAATTCACACATATTTTGCACCCTGTCCTTTCGAAAACCGATAATAAATAGTTTTTTTTAAATGAATAAGGGATTTCTACCTGGAACCAAAATTCTTTTAAGTAAAAAAGAAGAAGCAAAAATGGTGCCCCTATCATGGACATTGACCTATCACAATGAAAGTGGTAAAGCAAATGTGGTAGAAAAGATTACTTATGTCGAAACCTGTTTGGATTAGGCGTGGAGAGATGTAAGTAATATGCGGTTACTTCTGTAAGGAGAAAGGAAAATAAAAGGAGATGGGAGGTGTAGGATGTGTATGTGTTGTCATCAACTATACCAATTTGTATTGATTGCTTACACCGAAATTTAGGCATTGGAAAGGTGAGTTGACATTTTTTTAAAAAATCTAGATGTCATAGTATTATACCCCTCTACCATCACCTTCTACTCCGTGCTCCACCTTTACACCCTTAGTTACCACCTCTGCATCAATTAATTCTGTAACTTAATTTTTCCTATCCAATCTTTACTTTCACTTACAAAGTGGCAAGCTTTCATTAACTACACTCATTTACTCCCTCATACCACATCCAAAACAGGTTTTTACACCAATCCAAACATGCTCTAAATGCAAACCGATTGATTCTGGAAACAACCATCAACTTCAACCCCCAATTTCAAAATAACCCGAGCAGATAACATACTAACTCTTCATCCTATAACATACTAACTCTTCATCCTAGAAATGCCATGGCAGATCAATCACCATATACAATACAACGCTAATCAATACCACATACTCACATAGTGACGTCGCGTGGTAATCACACACGCATTGGAGGAACTTACTAGTAGAGATTGCACTTAAGGCGGCTGTTCCATTTCGCATAGGAGCGAGGGACAGTAAATCGGGAGAAGAACTCCGAGAAGGGACGCGGTGGCGATGACCAGTCAACCTCCCGTAGTGCCTCGATCAGATCATCCGTTGTCACGTTGCCCCAATCCATACCTCAAATCGAATACGAGGAACCCTAGAAAGATATCGGTGGCGCACAAGAACGATGGGAGACGGGATTGAATAAGCAAATCAGAACAAAGACCAAATAAGATTTGATTGCTAGGAGAGAAATTGTGAATCCAATCGAGACTAGCAAGGATAAAATCGGACACTAATCCTTATGACTAGTGAAAAATAGTTATATCAGTTTTGATGATGTTCAAGGAAGATGAGTCGTGAGTATAAAGCTCAAATACAAAATGGGGACTCAAACCCCTCACCTAAGAAAACGATGTTCGCAGAGGTTGGTTTACACTTTACACTTTGTAGGCATAGGTTTGGTTTTTTGAAAGAAAAATAGTTTATATTAATATCACGTTTCATATCGTTACTATAAATTCAAAAAAATCTAACACTAACAATAACTATTCGTAACCAATTAGCGCTATCAACAATACGACTAGATTCAGAGACGATCATCCATAAAAGAGTAATACGAATCGCTAACCACCAAACGGGTGTGACACATCAATCACCGGTCATATAGATCATTCTAACAATATATAATATATAACATAATTGTCAACAAAAACATGGCAACGCAAAACATGACACGAAAATAAGGACATAAAAAATAAAATAATTATCAATCTTCCAAACCCTGGATCCTCGATCGCTCCAAGGCGGCAGTTCAGGAGGGCACGGGACCGCTGATCTGTCTTCTCCCTTGCTGAGTCCGTCGGCCGTCACCTCTCCTTGTCTTCTCCCTTGCTCAACCTGTCACCTCTTCTTGTCTTCTCCCTTGCTCAGCCTGTCACATCTCCCTGTCTGCTTGTCGTATGTGCCGCCTCCACTACCGCCACCGCCCCCCACCCATGTTGATCCGCCAAGAACTAACCATTCGACTTCCTCCTCAATTGCTGGATTGGGACGACGCTGCTCTAGATCATCCATAGAAGTCGTGTTTATCATTTCTTGACCCTACACCCGATCAACATGAAAAAGAAAAACTGGTCCGCAGAAGTGCGGCACTACATCGCTCTCGACACGCGAAAGAAAAACCTAGCTCTCGACAAGCGAGATAAACCTACGTGAGTCACTATCTAAGAGTGGAAGGCTACAGGGCAGTTTCCACTACTCAAGGACGAGGGTTTGTAGACATATGTTTGGTTTAATCGTACAATAATGATTGTTGTAAAATTAAATCATTCATAATTCTCAAAAATCCTTTTGAAAAGTATATAAATTGTTCATCCATATGACTATTATTTGTAAACAGAATTTGGTTTATATTGTTTACCATCTTTACATTACTCTCTATATTATTCTGTTTTTTTTTTTTAAAAACTTATATTGTTGTATTAAAAGCAATCTATCATTATATAAAAGCAAAATGTTTTTGAAGTAGGGCCTGTTTGGTAACGGCTGCAACGGCTGAATAGGCTGAAAAGACTGAATATGCTGAAGTGAAAGTGTTTGGTAATATGTTGGCTGAAATGACTGATTGAATGTAAAATTACTTTAAATGGTATTAATTTATTTGTGTTAAATATATGAGTGTGAATTTTTAATAGTGAATTAATTTTGCTTGATTAGGTGATTATAAGAATGCTTAATTAATTTATTGTATTGACTTTTTACACAATTTTTTTTCGAATAAACGATGTCATTATACGGAGTAACTTTTTTGTTACACAAACTTTTTTTTCGAATAACTTTTTCGAATAAACAATATGTGTAAATTAATTTTAAAAGATACCCTTTTTAAGTATACGGAGTATAAAAAAACTCACATGGAGTTGAATAAATTAAAATAAAATGAAACAAAACATACGCAGTGGGGTTTGTTTGAATTTTATTTTGCTAAAATCCCAAGCGAGGAGCTTTCGTTCGTCCAAAACAACGAACACGTATTTCTACAATATACGTAGTAAAAGGCTAAAAGGGCCTTTTCAATTTCAAATAGTACAATAATAAAAATCAGCTCAAAAAGTAGCCATATAGTTGCTTTTTCGGCTGATCAAAAAATTCAGCTCAAATAGCCAAATCATTAAGTGTTTGGTGATTTTTTTTCATGCTTTTCAGCCCATTTTGGGTGCTCCAAACACTCTCGTAGTATTTCCATTCAAAACATTTCCATAAAATATGACTAACAAAGGTGCGAGCAGGGGCGGATCGTAGTAGAGACCAAGGGGGGCTACTGCCCCCTCAACAATTTTTTTTAGTGTATATATATACGAAAATAAATTTTCGCCCTCCCAAAAAATATTTTGTTTAAATTACCGCCTTTCCTGGATGAATTTCCTGGGTCCACCCCTGCGTGCGAGCGTCATGTAGAATTATACTCTAGTAACTAGTAAGTTAGGTATACGAGTTCGAGTAGACTGATAAAAATAAGAATTCTCTTACGGTACAACCTGCCTTTATTATTACTCTCTACAAATGATGACATGTGTTTCTTGAGACATATGCTAGCTATAATATGATTATATTCAGTAATTCTTTATGGTGACCAACATGACCACCTTAAAATGCATAAACTCAAGGATATAGACCGACTAAAAAATAAGACTAATTTTAAACTCGACTAATTTTGTACGGAGAGACAAAAACACCATTCCAACTCCCAGGAATTTTCTTATTTCGAACTGGCAGACATCCATCTATTCGATCTTCCGAAGCCGGAGATGAGCACCAAATTTATCAACGGAGTAATTGTTCTAGCCTGTCGCAGGTCAAGTTCGTTCACTGCCGGTCGCCGCAGCTTACCGTCGGCCGGAGTTATCACAAGTGCCAGTCATCATCGCAGCGCAGCGGTCGATGACGGCAGCCTGTCATCATCGGAGCGCAGTGGCCGATGACGGCAGGGCGGGTAGCCTCCTCCTTTTCTTCCTCATCCTCCTCCTCATATCTTCCTCTCTTCCTCCTTGTTAGCGAGTTTCTTCTGTGCGTTCTTATTTTGTGAACCGGTATATACTTCATATGTGTCTTGTAGCTTTTGTGCGTCGTTCTAATTTGTGCACTGCGTTGTTCTGTTGTTGTTTTTTTATGTTCTTTGCCGATTTCCCAGCTTTATTATTTATTTGGAAAATCTCCAATTGCTAATAAATTACGGAAGTACTCCGTGATAGATAATGGGGAAAGGGGAGGGGCTGATCGAAGGCAGATATGTAATAGGTTGGCCTGAGAATTGAGAGTTGGGAAGTGGAAAGGGCAATTATTTGAGATTGGGAAGGGGAAATATATACCATTTTATGTTTGTTATTATATATTTTAGCTTTCAACTTTGTTTTTTCTCATAACAACAATGTAAATGATGGCATGTGCACAAATTGCTACAATATTATTTTACATTGAGAGAAATTATTTGTTCATCATAGTTACTAAAATCAATACACTCTATTTCCATGAGCTGTATTGACAGTGTAAGATTTTGTTAGGGACACTAATACTATTAAAATGTAAAGTTAGCTGCGAATTGAAGACCTATAAAACCTAAGTCACGAGGTTAAATAAATGAGACAAGTTGACTAACTCGAGGTTAATTAAATAGCATTAATTAATTGAAATTAAAAAAATACTCCGTATCTAGCTAGTGTAGAACCCACTGCTCTTGGTGCTTAAACGGGATAAATTAACTCTCGTTTCTCTTTGGTTGTCTAACATTCCGTTTCATTTTAGATTGGAAAGAAACCATGCATCAAGTACAAGTGCTTAATCCCTTATAGAGAGAGACATGGACACCATCATTTTTTAGATCCGCATTACACCCTTGACATAATTTATGCTTATAGACATGTAGGTGTGTGTGTATTGAAAGGTGAAGGCTCAATTATTATTAATAAGGTTTCATGAAACTGAAAACCTCACTACAACACAAACATCTCTTTCCCTATCTCCCACATAACCGCATAGTCCTATCACTCTCTGACCAGGTGCAACCGTGCAAAAGAGTACACCCTAAAAAATGCAACACTCTTTGTTGGTTATGCTAGAGATTCGAAGTAAGAGTCGACCGTAGAAGCAAAAATACTTCCTCTCACGACAACAAAACAACCAACGTTCTCAAAACCAACTTAAAACACACAAGTATATATTATACAAATGAAAAAGTACCACATAGAAAAAAAATAAAGATTGAAAGAGAAAACGCAAGACCACATGTAGCCAATTCAAACCTTGAAGTGTCAATTCAACTTCCAATCCTTGGTCTTGTGGTCGCTCCAAGGCAGTGGTTAGGATAGGCGGAGGGGGTGGGACATCAATACTTTGTCTTCCTTATTCATCTCATCATCTCTCCCCTTCTCCGACCTCTTCATTTTACTTACATCGTCGTTCATCATAATTGAAATAGATTTGCTTTTGTTTCTATCAATCAATGATTGCATCTCACTTAGTGCGCTGCCTTCCATCTCCCTGTTGTTCTTTCGCTGAAGAAGTTAAACAAAAACAGACGCCAACGACTTCGCGCGGCTCCAAAATTTCTTGCCGACAACTTCGAGAAACTCCAAAACACTAGCTAACAATAGAGGCATTCTCTTCCGTCATATTAAAATTTTAAGGGAAAACTGTCAAATAGGTCCGCGAACTTTCATAAAAAAGTCAATTAAGTCCTTCTATAGGAGACTTTGTCCGGTCGTCGCGATTTGGGGCGGTACCCGGTGGAATTTTTTGATGAAAATTTTTGAACATCTTATTCATCAAGCCTAGTTTCCTCATACCAAATTTCAGCTAAAAATTTAACCGGGAGGACATTCAAATTAATTCGAGAACGCAAAAATGCGCAGTTATCTTCAAGAATTAATTTGAATGTGTTCCCGATTGAATTTTTAGCTGAAATTTGATATGAGTAAACTAGACTTGGTGAATAAGATGCTAAAAAAAATCATCAAAAAATTCCACCGGGAACTGCCCCAAATCGCGACGGCCGGACAGAACCTCCTATAGAAGGCCTTAATTGACCTTTTTATGAAAGTTCGAGGACCTATTTGACAGTTTTCCCAAATTTTAATATTTTGATTAAAAAACTAGATCGACGAGTCAAAATGAGTTCTAAATTCTAAAATTAAAAATATGTTCTCGTTATTCCTATATTTTTGCATTTTTAGATCTTTTAAGTACGGAGCCGAAAATACAAAGATTACAAAATACAATATGCACATCAGCTCATGGTTCCAAATTTCTTTCTACATGTAACACGCCAAGTGTTACAAATTATGTTAACTTCAAAATGCTAATCCTATATAATTGTGACATATCCGAGGACGAAGATCATGAATTTTTCTATAAATAAGTTCTACATTGCATGCACACATGAAGATCATGATTTTTTCTATAAATAAGTTCTACATTGGAGAACAATTTTGTTCACCTCCTCAAGAGGGTGAACATCACCCC